TTATTTTAAATCATTCTGCAAACAGAAAAAAATATATTATAAACATTTCATATTTATAATAATGCAATTGAAAATAATAAAAATTATAAAAATGTAAAGTATATAATTATTGTAAAGGATACTATAATGGTAAATCCTCGAAGATGAATTGTTTGATGTCTAACAATCGGTTGAGAGAACAGCCGCTACAGCTCTATAGAATGAATAAAAAATAGAGACAATATAATAATCTTTGTTTACATTTGCTTATTTGATACACATATCAAAGAATATATTTGTATTAAATAAACTAAGTTAATTATAAAAGAGATACTAATTGATACAATAATATTGAATATGAAATATATTGGTGTATATACATAATGGCGTTAATTTATCATAAACATATTTTGGTATGTATATTAAGCGATTTGTAAAGAGTTATGAATGTTAGAATCATAAATGGATTATGTTACCTCAACTCTCGCAGATACATAATAATCATCTGCAGAATCCACAATAGAAATGCAACAGAGTACGAACACAAATATAAAGAAATAATTAATAACTGTGATAGGTGCCATTTTTATTCCAAAACAAAGATTTATCTTCTTTTTTACTGTATTGAGACTACACTAAACTGAACTGAAGTGAACCTAGTGAAATCAGATCGTTCTCAAGTTTTCAAATTTATGAATCGTAAGTTGAAAAATCACTGAGCGCTCACTGATCTACTTTCTCTGCTAACCGCAACCAATGGATGCGAGGGATCACGAGAACTATGGGTATATTTGTTTATGCAGTCACTACCGCAGATGTCGTTCGTTTACTCCATCTGCGAAAGTGACTGCAGCGCAGTTCATCGTTCGTTTACGCAGGGATGTATCTCATTTATGCAACTATCTCGGAAGCTTTGGATGCTCTGCTTGCGGTACTGCATAAACGAACATTAAAATGAATTTTATTAGAATAAGAAGCGAAAAGGGTCAGAAACAAATAATTGATCCAAATAAAATAAGAATAATAAGATATAATTAAAATAAAAATAAGATAAAAATAAAAAAAATAAAAAATGAAGAATAAAAAATAAAAGTAAAATAAGAATAAAAATAAGAAAAAATAAAAAAATAAGAATAAAATATAATTCACAAAAAATTAATATCTAACTTTTACGTAAAATTCATAGATTAAATATTTTTTATAATATCCATTATTTATATCAATTAAATTTAATATCCATAAAATATTATCTTTTATACAATAAAAAAGTTTTATTTTAATTATTCAAATATAAATTTATGTATAAAATTGTCTCTTTACTTATTATTCAAACAATCGGCTCAATTTCTATTGGAAGGTACGATCCGTGTAGTTATTCACGCAGTTATCCGTTTAGTAAATTTCGATCACGTGACAAGCAAAGGAGAAAGCAATGGATGCACAAAACACTGCGTAAACAAATGCACCCTATAGCTTTTTATTTATAAGGCCTGTTCTACAATGCGTCGTGTGTCGGGGTCGTGGGTCATGGGCCGTAAGAATGAGTCAATCACAATCAAGTATTCTCCCCACGACATTCGACTGTGACTGGTCAATTCTTGCGGCTTGCGACACTGACATACGACGCATTGTAGAACAGGCCTAATAATTTAGGGCCATGGCACATAAAAAAGACTTAAGCAGTAAGTGAATTAGCCAATCACAATCGAGAACGTAAGGCAATAACATAAGCAGTAGCAAATCCATAAGTGTCGATCCACAATAAGTATTTAATCTTTAAGTCGTAAGAAATTGACCAATCATAGTCGATTATTCTTTTCATATTCGATTATAATTGGTCAATTCTTTACTTCTTAAAGCTTAAATCACCTATTGTGGACCGACACTAATCGACTATGATTGATCAATTTCTTACGACTTACAGATTAAATACTTATTGTGGACCGACACTTGAGCGGCGCCTACAATGAGACTTTAAGATGTAAGACTTAAGAAGTTGGACAATCATAATCAGTTATTCTTCTATAAATCGATTATGATTGGTTAATTTCTTAAGTCTTACACCTTAAAGTCTCATTAGTATCGGTCCACAATAGGTGATTTAAGCTTTAAGAAGTAAGAAATTGACCAATTATAATCGAATATGAAAAGAATAATTAACTATGATTGGTCAATTTCTTACGACTTAAAAATTAAATATTTATTGTGGACCGACACTTATGTGCCATGGCCCTTATTCGAATGCCATGTACAAAGCAATATATCAGTCGAACCATGAGCGAACGAACGAATTTGATGATGATTTCTTTTCCCCTAGTCGAGTCTAGATGAGAAACTCTAATGTCACGTTGTAAAATGATGAGATGCGCATGTGGCGGTTTATTTAAATATTATTACAATATTTAACTTAATAAACTTTATTGAAGTTAACGTATTTGCAGATGTTTGGAGAAAGAATAAAAGATATGTTATTGATAACAAAAGTTGTATTTTTTTAGTAATTTAGTAAACAGTAATTTAGTAACAAAAAAAAGAAGCGTAATAACAGTGGAGAAGTAAGAGTGCCATCCCATGGAGCGTATTGCACGTATCGCGAATCGCGCGTATCGATCTGACCAATCGCGAACTTTCCGCTGTTTTTGGTACGCGAGAGTTCTTATAGTCCCATGACGCGGAATTCGCGTAAACGGATCAGACGGATAGTCAATCATAAACAATTTTCGATTATTTCCCTTTATCTAAATAGTTTTGTGATTGGTTACGTAAACCGCTGATTTATTTATCATTCCGTTTCATGGGACTGTAACGTCCGCGGAAAATTAAAATTTACGGACGTTCATCCGAAATGATGTAAATGCAGTCAAACGATACTTTAGGTTAACGCATATGCGAATTTAGATATTAGAGATATATAACTTTTATTAGCTTATGGTTTTATTATTTTATATTTTATAACTTCCATTATTAAGTTAATTAAGTTATTAATAGAGCAGGAATTCACTTTCTTTCGTCTTATGAAAAGATTAAAAGATATAATTTTATTATTATTATTATCATTATTATCTTCTGGGGAATATAATTTTATAACGCAATTTTCTTTTTCTTCCATTTTCTAATTTTCTAATTTTCTTTTCGTACTGTCTCTTTTTCGATTTTCGATCCTGCAGCTGTAGAAGAGACAAAGGAACGTTCAATGATCTTATACTTTATACTTATACTTTATAGAATACACTGTCGCGTTCGCGGCGTTACTTCCCGTGATTGCGATATTCGGCGGAGCGCTCTCGGAAAAGAAGAACACTGTTTTAAGAAAGACTCGCTCTTTATTAAACCAACGGTACAGAAACGCGTCCGGCCACTGCAGAATCCGGCCGTCAAATCCGTAAAACAGTCGGAGAACGACGCGTTGCCAAGGGCCGATCCTCTATTCAAACTCTTATCGATTGATATTGATTTTCTTTTAGCAGCGCCGAACGGAATACCGCACGGCCGCAACATTGCCCCCCTCTTCATAAAATTGTCGTCCCGACAATTCTTCCTCTTTCAAGAACTTCCTCCTAGGAAAAGATTTCTGGACTCCTGGCGACTTCTTGCCCTACCCTGGGCTGCTGCCTCAGGTTAGCGGGCGCCGCTATTTCCAATCCCAGTCTTCTCTACTCTTCAGAAGAATCTTGTTCTTGAAATTCTCGCGCGTTTCACTCTTGACTCTTCGTCTTGAGCTTTGCGCATTTCTCTCTTCTATTTTTCGGGCAAAGTGGGGGTAATCGTCGTGGACCCTTACGTCTTTCTAAAAGACACACTAAGCTCCTGCCTCGGCATTCGCCCATCGTCCCCCGGAAAAACCACGACTCGGAAAACCGGAGGCGAGGCAGACTTCTTTTCAATTTGAAGCACGAGCTTGAAGATCTTGCTTGGTGCTCAGGCTCGAGGATCTCCCCACGACGCTACTTACGACGGAAGGAAGCTTAAAGAAAAATAAAACAGAACACAGTAACTCAAAACAATTAACAAGAAATAAAAGTAATGTCGAAATTGGAAAACCGGGCCCCGAAAATCTCTACTTAAAATTCTTCCCTTTCTCTATACGGAGCTAACCTGTCGGCATGCACAACCTTGCTTTTCCGACCACCTGAACGAGAAATACAGAAAACTACATCACTAATTTTCTTAATTATCTCAAAAGGCCCCTCCCAATCGTTCTGTAGTTTGGGAGACCTACCCTTCTTACGATGAGGATTAAATAACCAAACCTTCTGTCCTTCCTCAGAAACGAGATGCCTAGCCTTTCGATCATAGCGGCACTTGATCTTCAAAGACCTTGATTCTAATCTCTCTCTTACTCTCTGATGAATTTCATCCAGCTTCTGCCGCAAATTTCGAACGTACT